CGTATTATTTGTTTACTTTTTAATAGTGATAAGTTTTTTTGTCTTTTAGTAGTCAAAAACTAATACTTAAATTAAAATACAATTAAAAATTTTGCGTTTTTCATTTACAGATTTACGAAGTCCCAGCATTGCATGCAAGTTTTTATCTCAATTTAATTCGAAAACTTTTTGCCAGAATTATTCACAAAGTCAATAGAACTAAATATTTTAAGATTTGAATTGTGAATGAGAAGAAGAAAAAAACGGAGTAAAGGAAGACAACAGGTATATTTCACAAAAAAAATAATACATAAATATGTACATGTATGCATAAGAAAAACGCAGGACGAACTTTCGAAAAATGTGGAGCAAAGTTATGAAACAAAAAACAAGAAAGCAGAAAAGTTTCCTGGCGTGATAGGCATAGGAAAAGTGAGCAGGGAATCGCGATTGGGCCAAATAAATAGAACAGAAAATGTGCCTGACGTTGCAAGTTGAACTTAGCAATATAAGGACACATCAAGGATGAGGGTTTTAAAGGAATATCGCTTGTATTGCAGTACTGAAGAGGATGAGGAGGAGAGTCGTAAAGCAGAGTTTTGTTGCTAGATTACTGCCACGACGGCATCGCTCAAAATGCAAAAGCCCATATGAATACATATACTTATTCTATATATACATAGTTAGGTAAAAAATAAGTGAATAGCCGTGTTTTTACACGGCTTATTTGTTTATGTGTTCGCCAAGCGTTACAAACTGCTTGTGGTGCTAGAGGAAAAGGAATGCACTTTGAATATACATACATACATACATAGTAAATAGTGGCACAAAATGAAAAAGATACATGCAAATGTTCACTCACAGCCTGAACGTGCTGAATAAAAATAAGAAAAACGAAACTGAAAAGCGAGTAAATTAACGACCTCGGTTATTGAAATATAGGGAGTTTTCGTATATCCGAAAATTACCGTTACATGGGAAACCGGTGCAATTTTAGTCCGATTTGAATAATTTTCTACGAATTGCTTTTTCATAAAAAAGTTTTTAAATACACCAAGATTGGTAAACATTTATTGACATTTCTGGACATAAGTGGGCGGCGCCACGCCGAAATTTTTAATAGTCTAATTTTTTTACTGATTTATCGCAGTTTTCGTGTTTCGGTAAATTACCTTTATATGTGAGGCGGCGTAGCTATTGCCCGATTTTAATGATTTTCAGCAAATTTCTTAGCTGGATCCTAAGCAAGGCTCGTACCGAGTAAGGATTGGTGAAGCCGCTACTAAGATACATTATTTCATCATAAGTGGGCCACGCGCGTTTTCCAAAAATTCATAATAATATTATTTTGTACCAAAATTCTACTTCAAATACTAATTTTCAACATTGGATCAAATATTTACTGAAATATCTTAGTTTTTGCATTTTTCGAAAATACCGTTTTATGAGAAGGGGGCGTGGTTGCAGTCCGGTTTCGCCCATTTTCATGACATGGCTTAATCGACTTCTCTTTTCATTCTGATCATTTATGTATACATGTGTCTATATCTATCTCAATTCCTTACGCTGTTACATACAACCGTTTTATGAACAAAGTTATAATACCCTGTGCCCAAGTGCGCTTGGGTATAAAAATCCTGCGAATACGTGTTAGCTTATTTCATGTATAGAACCCATAAAATTTTAAGCGAATCAGAGACATGACATCATTGTTTTTTACGAAATCCGTAAATATATATAAATATATATACATATCGAGGGCTTATATTCAATATTTCTATCTGCAATTTTGATCAAAATGAGCTTTTGATGGTAACGTGAGCTCCGATTAATCCTTCAGCCATGACAATAATGTCAAAATATAGCTTTAATGGTATTATATTCTCATTTTGAAAATTCCACTATCTGCAATAACATTTTGTTATAAGAGCAAAATCCTCTATCTACACAATTTTGCTGGAAAATTGTTTTTATTCACATTTTTTGTGGCAGGTAAGTTACATGTGCCTATGTATGTATGTATATGTTACCGGTAAAATCCGATCTTAGGTCAAACTAGTTTTGCCTAGGCTAGGTCCAACTGAAACCAAATTTGACAACAAAAAAATCTTCCATATCCCGTCAAACATAGAGTCACTAAACTCCATTACTCCATTCTGGTCAATGGCCACCAAGAGTGGAAAACTGCTATTATTATTCCTATTGCCAAGCTAAATATAAAAAATTCGTTAGTTTCTAACTACAGATCCATTTCCTTCCTCCGCTGCATATCTAACGTATTACGCTGAAAATGGTAAGAGGATGTACAATGTTGTTGAGTCTTTCCTTTACAACCGGAAGTTCGCTCTTCGGGTCAATAACTGTTATTCAAAAACTGTTCATCTCTTTAATGGTATCCCACAAGGATCACCACTTTCGGTTATTTTATTCAATATAGGCTTTGGGAAAGTTAGCTCCATTATATTTTTTCGAAGACTAAGGACTTGCCGTAATTGGTCTAGATCTTCAGGAGCTAAGATATCGGGGTTTTTCACATATGCAGAAAACACAAATGTATACATCCAACCCTCTCCATGTATGATACCCCTAACCACTATACTGACACATTGAAAATATTGGAAAAAATTTTTGACAATAAACTTACTTTTAAGCAGCACTGCCATAATGTAAGATTAAGCTTACTTGCTAGACTAAATATTATAAAGTTTTTATCATTCAAATATTCTGTAGTTCATATAACTGCACTGGTAAATGTAATTAGGGCTTTTATATTAGGAAAAATTGACTTTGGACTCGTAATTTACGGACACTGCGCAAAAAGCATCTTAAATTGCCAGAAACACCTTACCATGCAGCAGTCAGAATAACCATAAATATGATGTAAAGTTCAACACAAAGATGCTTGTTCACTGCAAAAATGAGACTTTATTCTCTCACGTCGAATCCTGCTGTCAACAAAAAAAAAAACCGATGAAGCATGCAATCAGCTTTATTTCGTATATTAAGCTACATCAAAGATTTAGACATCATATCTACTCCGAAGCCTACTAAAGTAAAAACTCTACCGCAAGGGCATTTGCCCAGTTCTATACTCATAAATGACCTGGGTGCTTATTTTTACAGACAAAAGGGCTTGATGTTACAATTGTCGTCGGTGCTTTTCCCGCGTACTGCTCGGCATTTACAATTGCTAGAAGCTGTACGTTTCGCCTCTAAAAACGAACGAAATTTCCTCACATGCACGGAAGTAAATCAGCCATCGAAGCCCTCTTTAACAGTGCTAATGATTCTCATATAATTTTGAAATCACGTGAAATACTCTTTCGACACAAAAACACCATTAAAATTATGTGCCTACCTGGGCACGTCGGAATAGAAGGGAGCGAGTTTGCAGACCAATGAATTATGTGTTAAAAACTTAGTTTAACATAACATTTACATCTAAAGAACTGACATTTTCATTATTCTGTAAAACCCGCGATCAGCACATATATATTGAATATAAGCCCTCGATATACAATATAGTATATTATAAAATAGAATAATAGCAGGGATAGAATTGTGATAGATCATTTGAATATTTGTAGGGATACAATTTTATAAGTCCCTGAATCCCGGCACTAGATGCCTTAGTACATACATACCTTCTTGTAATAGTGAGAAAGAAATTTCAGAAAAAATATTAATAAAAGAACATACATGTATGTATATTTACATTTTTAATTTCTTAACAAAAAATGAACTGAGCCATACATACAAATCTTTTGAGAATGAGAAAAACGTCACCGTCACCGTCACCATCACCGTAAACGATGCGTATACGCCAAGTTACACACTATCCGTTTGACGTTGCGTCCGAAAAATCAAAAATTCGCTGCAAATCTTTGCAAAATTTGCGTTTTACTTTTGCACTTCTCCTATTAGGTATTCCTCCATCATTTTTTTAATTTCGTTTTTCCGTAAATCTAAAAATTTTCACGTTCAAACATGTAAACACAACACAGAATTTTTGTCACTTGACGCAAATGTATAAGCAAAGTGGAAAGTTGAGGTAATTTGCGCGTCACCGACTCCATCAGCTTTGTACATGTAACTTACTGCATACAAATAAATCGATTCAACTTTTTTGACAACTGTGGTGCCGGTGATGGTAACGGCGACGCAATGCACGCTATGTACTTTCACTTTTAAGAATTTAAATGTATATGAATAAGGGCATCCAAAACTTTCCAGACTTTCAAATCTTTCAATGAAATACAAGCAGCTTTTGTAAGAATTAAAACTTTAAAAACGTATGTATATTTATGCACGAGGGACTTAATAAAATGTTAACAGCTTCTTATCTTGCACTTACATTTATTCTTTTTGGCCGCTAACTAATAAAATAATTTCTTCAAAAGCTTTGGTCACCATGAATTTGCGTTCTGCAGACAAGTGTTCTTGTGTCCCATCCAACTCAAAAGACAAGTGAATGAGAACAGATTGAATCGCGATAAATGAGCCATTAAATTACTTTTGTTCTGAAGACCTTTTTCGTGCCTACTGATTATATATATATATATATATTTTTTTGCGCATTTTTCGAGCTTATATCGGTATATGCCAGTATACAGTAAATCAGCCATTGACAATATGCTTATTTGAAAATTAATACATGAAATATTGTAAATGTATAGGATTTTTTTTTGGTGCAGAAGTACTCACAAATATTTGTTGATATATTTGAAATGTAAATTTGAACAGCAAAATTCGTAAAAAAAAATAATAATAAAACAAAAATATTTTTGATAACTACGTGGGAGGTGGGCGTGGTTATTGGCCGATTTCGCCAAAATTTATTATTTTTGGTAAACAATTTGGCAATTTAATTTTGGATTTGGTAGTTTAATAATTGTGGCAGCACTGATTATTACCACCCGGCGTATCTTGTATACCGACGATAACTCGTATTAGCGCTGCTGCTGCTGCTCAAATACATTGATGTTAACGTAATTTGTATCGGTATCTTTTTATTACTCTAGCTGTTGAAATTTCGTGCTGGCAGTATTGCTTTTGTTGAGGATTTGGTGTTTTTACTATTGCCATGGATGATATTAACGTGATTTTTGTATTTGTTGTTACCCCTACAAAAATGATTCTATTTTAAATTGAAGAAGTTGCTTCCGCTGGTTCTGTTTAATGGCGAACGGGGATGTTGTTATCAATGTCAATGTTCAATATGGGTACAATTTTTGGCTGGAAAGAGAAAAGAGGGGACATTTATTTATGTATGTATGTCTGTATTGATTGTGTGTTTGAAATAACGGTTGCTTCTTAATATTAGTTAAATATTTATGTTTTCTAACCCTTTATAACATCCTTTAAAAAAGTGCGACTAGTTCGATATGCAATGCATATGCATATGCGTTCATTTGAATTAGTTTGTAAACCGATCTGCGTTGACAATACAGGATCAAAAATATCTACATATGGTCGATTCGATAGAAAAGTAAACCAGTTCGATTTTTTTCTTTCAAATATTGTTCTCGTGCCCCTAAAAAGTATGTATTTGTTGTTTAATGGCCGTATTGTAATATCTCGTTTATTTTGTCAATTCAATTCAATAAAAATTTTCAAATAGGTGGCAAACCTTCTCAAATAAATATTCGACAGTAAACTTTACTAAACCTCTCCAGTTTGATACCCATATTGCAATATTCAATTTATCTTATCAATTAATTTAAATACAAATTTTGAAACAGGCGGCAGGCAACCTTCCATAAAAATATTTTCGGTTATAAGCCTTCTTAAGCCTCTTTTTTTGACAGAAATACTGCAATATTTACTTTACTTTATCAATTTACTTAAACTGAAATTTTTAAACAAATGGAAATTCTGTAATATTTTATTTTCTATATTTTAAGTTAAATCTCTAGCAATACATCTGTGAAAACTATATTAAATTCTATGCACTAGTTTTCGAGTGATGCGCGTACATTCATACATATGTACAGACAGACAAAAATTTTATAAATGGTTGATTTGGCATCTGTTGCTATAATATTTAAATCCCCCCGTATTAATTTTTCTTTAATATCTGTAATGTACAGACATTGGCCTGTTACAATTTTATTATTTTGGCTTATAAAGTTCCGGACGATCGACTAGTCCGATAGGAACTAGATCCCCACCAGTCCAAAATCGGCGAAAAGTGGTACTTTTAAAAAAATAATTTTTTTCAGTTTTTTCACTAGAAATCTATATCTAAAGTGACGAATTTAGAAATGGTTCGGAATTATAGAAAAAGGGATGCAGAACGAACTAGATCTTATTTGTCGAATTTAGAACTAGTTTGGAACTATCGAATAAGGGATGCAGCGGGGGGGCTGTTTACTTTACAAATATATGTGTTCGCCGGCTTTTTCGTTCAAATACGCTTCTATTCTGTGCTTCGCAGATGCTTTTTCATAGCTTGGTAATACAAAACTAAAATTTGTGTCAACATTTCAACATCTTGGGACCGTCTGGAATCTAAGAAATAACAGCGAGCACCTCTGTAAACTCAGCTACAGCTAAAGGTATGTAAACGTACATTTCTTACAATCATTCAAACAAATTTAATTTAAAATTGAAAACACATTTCTTCCAAAATAACTTAAAATCGCACACACGGAAAAACCAAAAAGATTGAAAAATCATGATACTTTTTTCTTTCGTCTGCTGATTTTAGAACTGGTTCGGAACTATAGAATTTAGGACTAGTTCGGAACTATCGAAAAAGGGATGCAGCGGGGGGCAATTGACACTTCCTAGGACATCGCCATGTTAAATTCGCCAGTTGCTTGCATGCAAAAGAGATTTATCGCGAACCAGTACTGGGTCTAAATGTACTAGAAGCGCACCAGTTCAGAACTAGAGATTTTCCCCACAGGGCAGTAATGAAACGTACCGAAAATACTAGGTGTAACGTAGCCAGTGAAAAATTAAAAAAGTATTTTTTTCGGATACTTAAGTACCTTTTCATATATGGGTGCCATATAAGGCAAATTTATATAAGGCGATGTTGCTTGAATAGCTGATTAGATTCGCCTCGGTGCACATGTGTCAAAATTTCTTATGAGTGAGCGAGAAAGTGAGAGTGTTAAAATTTTCTTTCCCTGTTCTTCCATGAGTGAAGAATAGCTGAAATTTGACATTTGTGTACCGAAAGCAAAAACAGAATGCATGTATGTTTTTGTTTTTGTACTACCGCTACCACTCATATGAATTTGTCTTGGGCGCCATATGAAAAAAAAGAAATCGTAGCTGACTTCGTTTCACAACTACCTAATAAATAAGTGTAACGTGGCCAGTATTTTCCTTTTTATTTGAATTTTTGTATTGACTTGATAACGATTCTCGTTCCCCTTTAGCAATAAGTATTCGCGTGAAAAATTTTAAATTGAGATTGGTACTTTTAAATTTTGATAATTATTCTATTTAAATAAAGCGAAGCTAAAATGTAAAGAATATCATTTGAAATTCTTGTCTCTTAAGATTTTGATTACATATTTTCTTGGAATTCAATGAAATTTTTTGCAACATATGTTACTGATTACATTGTCTGTTCTCGGACCTCTGCTTTGGAATGTAATGTATGACAGCTCCTGCGTATCGATGTGCCCCGTCGTACAAAGATAATTGGATTCGCAGATGATATCGCAGTGGTCGTTGTAGCGAAACATATCCAGGAGATCGAGAGGAAAGCTAGCGCGACTATAGGGAGTATAAAGAGTGGCTAACTTCTAGGAATTTAAGCCTCGCGTACCACAAAACAGAGGCAGTTCTAATAAGTAGCAGGAAAGCCGTAGAAACGATAAGATTTAGCGTGGAGTCCGAATTCATCACTTCCAAGTCCGCAATTAAATACCTGGACGTTATGATTTATGGTCGACTAAACTTCAGGACGCACCTCGAGTATGCTTCCAAAAAGGCTTCGAATGTTCAATCATATCTGTCAAGAATTATGCCTAATAATGGTGGCCCTAAACAAAGTAAAAGAATTCTTTACAGTAGGGTGGTCAGCTCAGTTTTCCTTTACGCTGCTTCGATTCGGGCCGAAGTAATGAAGATAAAGTGCTACGCACAGAAATTAAGAAGCGTGTATTGCTTAAGCGCGCTGAGAGCTGTTTGGGGATTCTGCACAATTTCTGACGAAGCATCCTTTGTAATCGCTGGAATGGTCCCAGTAGACATTCTCGCACAAGAGATGAATATAATATATGGTCGCTTGTCTGAGCACAGCGATGGTCTAACGCGAAAGACAATAGCTAGAGTGGAAAGGTGTCGCTCTATGGTAATCTGACAGAAACGATGGGACGACTCAGAAAAAGGGAAGTGGACCCACAAGCTCGTCCCTAATGTTGAAAAATAGCTGAATAGATCACACTGAGAATCTAGTTTCCATCTAACCCAGTTCCTCTCGGGCCACGGTCCTTATCGTGAGTATCTAAATAGATTTGGGCATAACGACTCCCCGTACTGTTCGAGGTGCATAGGAATAAGAGAAAATGCGGAACACATAATGTTCTCGTGCCCACGCTACGCCCCTCAGACACGATACATACTACAGGACAACGGCATACTAGACTATATGTTAGCATCATGCGAGAACTGGCAGAAAATATGCGCTCATATCACACGAATCCATGTAGACTTAAGACGAGCTGAGCATCTAAATACGTAAGGAGCCTTTGGGCCAACCAACCCCGTGAAGTAGTACCTTGAATGGCCGTTCCACGGGGAGAGTGGTTTTGTGGAGACGATTTAGTACGTACGTGCAGCCGTTAGGATGTAAGTCGTGCATGCTGCTATGAAAGCTTCCTTCTTCACGGCCGTAACTCCAGAAAAAAAAAAA